AGGGGCTGGGCCGTGTGTCCATCCCTGCCCAGGGCTGTGTGGGGCTGGATAGAATCCCAGAATCACTGAGTTTCCAAAAGCCCCCCAGGACCATGGAGCCCAGCCTGTGACTGATGGCCACCCCACGTGCCCAGAGCAGGACAGAGCCCCCAGTCAGGCGTTTGTTGGTTTGTTTATGTGCAGGTTTCCAAGATGCTGCAGGTGCCGCTGCCGCTGGATCGGGACGGGATCCTGTTCCGGCTGCGTTTCACCACGCTGGCCCTCGGGACTGTGTTCTGCCCCCTCTTTGGGTTCCTCTTCTGTGTCATCTGGTCTCTGCTCTTCAACTTCCGTGAGACGACTGCGACCCACTGTGGGGTGAGAGACTCCTGTGGGAAAAACCCGTATTCCTGGGGGGTTACAGAGCTCCTGTGTCCTTATGGGCTCTTCGCCCTCCTCCTGGGCTCTCCTCTCTCCTCTCCTGGCTTCCTCTCCCTCCTTCTGGGCTCCCTTCTCTTCTTGGGTTCCTATCCACCTTCTGCATTCCTCTCTCCTCTTCTGTCTCCTTCTGGGCTCCTCTCCTGGGCTTTCCCACCAGAAGTGTTACAGAATCCAGAAATAGCTGCGTTGTTTCGTTGTCCTTGTGATGCCTCAGGACTGGCAGCAGCAGGTTTGGTTTTGTGCTGGGACTGAGGGCAGTACAGACTGGTCAGGCTGGTGTCTGGACTGGGAACACTGGAGGTTATTGCAGTGAGAATAAAGGTGGCGAAGCTGCAGGGAAATACATCGTCCTGGGGAGAGGCTGGTGCAGAGCTGCTTCCCCCAGCTCTGCTGGAGTTCAGAGGAGCCACAGGAGTCTGGGGAGGGAGGGCCTGGAGCTCCATGTGGGATGAGAGTGGGCTCCTCCCCAGGATTTTCAGCATGCTGGATGAGCAGCTGGCTATGAGCAGGGAATGGAGGGCAGGAGTCATCCCACACCAGCAGGAGAACTTCAACAGAGCCTAAAGTGCCAGGACGGGGGAAATGGCTTCCCACTGCCAGAGAGAAGGGCTGGATGAGATATTGGGCAGGAATTGTTCCCTGGCAGGGTGGGCAGGGCTGGCACAGGGTGCCCAGAGCAGCTGTGGCTGCCCCTGGATCCCTGGCAGTGCCCAAGGCCAGGTTGGACATTGGGGCTGGGAGCAGCCTGGGACAGTGGAAGGTGTCCCTGGGCTTTAAAGTCCTTCCAACCAAAACCATTCTGGGAATCTATGGACAATCGGGAGAATAAAGGTAAAAAACCTGAGCAGGTACCTGGGCAGGACCCCCAGCAGGGCCGTGGGATCCATGACCCGGTGGGATGGACCAGGAGTGCTGCCACCATACATTCCCTGGCTTTGGGAACAGGAATAAACTCATTTACAATTAACAAAGGGTGATTTGAGAGCCTGGGAGAGCCCGGCTGTGAGGCTGTGCCGTGTGCCTGTCCCCACGAGCCCGTGTCCCTGCAGGTGCCCAACTACCTGCCGTCCATCAGCGCGGCCATCGGGGGCGAGACGCCGCAGCGCTACGTGTGGCGCCTGTGCATCGGCCTGCACTCGGCCCCCCGTGTCCTCGTGGCTGTGGCCTACTGGAACCACTACCAGAGCTGCCACTGCCCCCACCCCCGCTACCTGCGCCTGTGCCACGTCACCCTGCTGCTCAACCTGCTCGAGAACTTCGCCCTCCTCATCCTCACCTACGTGTCCTCCACCGAAAACTATGGTAGGTGGCACCCCCCACCCCGCCCGGCCCTGCCCTGCTGAGCCATTCCTTGAGCTGCTGATGTGCCATGAGGCAGTTTGGAGAGAAAAAGCAGTTAGAAACTCCCAGAGATTCTATTGAAGTCAGCAGTTCTAGAGGAATGATGTGTGGCATAACATGCAAACAGCCATGCTCTTCCCGCAGTTCTTGGTTGCTGATACTTGGTTGAAGCCGAGGGTTCAGGCTGGGGATGGAGCCTGGGTCAGACCTTGGCACTTGGTTCCACCCGTGTGCCAAGGCCCCACTCCAGGGGTGAGGGCAGGTGATTGAGGTGGGTCAGAGCTCATCCTGCTTCCCCTCCATCCCCACAGCTGGGCTGAGCTCTGAGCTGCCTCTGCTCCATACCTTCACATACCCTCCCCAGGACATTCTGGGGAAAATTATATGGATTCACACAATGCCAGACTGGTTTGGATTGGGAAGGGACCTCAGAGCCCATCCAGTGCCTTGGCAGGGACACCT